GCAGCCACCAGGCCAGGCATCGCGACGCCCCCTCCCGGCGCTGCTGCCGCAGCGCCTGCGCCTCCAGCGGCCGCCATCGCCTCTGCAGGGGCCCCCGCGGCAGGCCCGCCAGGTGCGCCAGGCACCGCCGCGGGCTGCGGCGCAGGGTCAGCAACCACGTGATTGCCCACCGCGAGGCCGCCCACGTTGCCAGCGGCCAAGGGCATGTTGGCGGGCGACGCGGGGCGGCCGCCTCCGAAAAGCGCGGCCGCCTCCATGATGCCAGCCCACACGTCGGCGTCGGACGGCAGCGCTCTGAAGCCGTACACGCGAAGCCCAGCTGGCCTCTCGCCCTGCCCTGCTATCATGATGATGCCCGCGATGTCGGCATCTGGAGTGCCACTCTCTTCATATCGATCACCGTCAGGCGTGATGACGTATACTGTCGTCCCAGGCCCGCGCCACACAATGAGCCGCTCATGCCACACGTGCGCGCCAGGCACTCGATATCTGACGAGCGCCCAATGCAACTGGTGAGCCATATTCACGCAGTAGAGGCCTTCTTATCTCTGACGGCCCTCGCCTGGGCGCGGGCCGTTTCCTCGAAGCTGGCAGCAGGCGCCTCGGCGGCGGGGCTGCTCTCCGCCCTGCGGGCAAGCAGCGCGCCTCCTGCGGCACCGACGGCCAGGCCGACGGTCAGCGCGGCCGCCGCGTAGGCCGCGATGAGCCCCCCGCACGAGGGCTCGGGCACCTGGCCGCCAGCGCCCGCGCAGACACAGGCGGGGATGGCGGGGCAGGTGAGCTGCGGCGCGCAGGCCCCGCAACTCGGCGCGGCAGCGCGTGCCACCACGGAAGCTCCCACAGCCTGAGCCCCGTATCGCAGAATGTCTGAAAAAGATGCGACGATGTCTTGCATGGGAGCCACACAAATTAAGACTTGAGCCGAGGCGGTTGCGGCACAGAGCATTGCAACGATCAAAGCACTACAAGCAGTTATATGATGATGATGGTGATTATGGTGATGGTGATGGTGATGGCGACGAGGAGGGCAGAGGCAAGGAGGGGGAGGACGGAGGAGGAGGAGGAGGGGGAGGAGAAGGATGCGGGTACTGTCTCTTCAACACGAGGACCCAAGACCACAGGATAGTTGGGAAGAAAAGATTAGGAAACCATACTTATGACGGAACCGTGGCTTACAAAGGGCGCATCTGGCGCCGAGATGACTGCGAACTTGGTGCATATCGCTGACGATGGTATCCACTTCCCAGAGCTGCTCTGATCAATCCCAGCATGCCCCGCTCCCCAGGTGCAAACTAGAAGCTCGCGCCCAATGAGGGCGAGCACAGCTGTGGCACAAAATGCCAGTGGTGTGGCTGCTAGGGCTTGTGGCGGGCAAGCTGAGAGCTGTCCTTTTTCACGTGGCTGCCCTTTCTCGATCCTCCTCCGCCTCCTCCTCCTTCTCCTCCTCCTCCTCCTCCTCCTCCTCCTCCCCCTCCTCCTCCTCAATCAAGCCAGGGGCTCAAGCCTGGTCCAAGCATGGGGCTCGAGCGGGCGCCTGTGCTCCTCCCGGGGCTTGGTGTCCACTTGTGTGCAGCTGCGGCTTGAGGTCGTCGTTTTCCGCTCCGCGGCGTTCGGGGACAAAGCGGCGCAACACCACGTCTAACTCAGTCCTTCACCGTGGTGCTCGAGGTATTGGCGTGGTGGTTTCTCCGCCCATCCGTGTCGCACATTGTTCGTTGGTGCATCGCGAGCCTGCGCGCATTTCCACTGATATGGTCATTGTGCAGTTCGACGTTCTGGTGGGATGCGGCTCAGGTGGATTTCCAATGGAAGGGCTTAAGGGATGAGCCGTGGTAGCTAACATTCACTTCGCCCTCGAGCCTGGTGTGCCCTGGTGCCTCATCGGCTTCTGGAGGGTTTCTTGGTGTGTCTGCTGCGATGTGGATGTGGCCTCTGGCCTAGGCTTTCTGCGTTGTTTTCTGTGTTGTCGTGCTGATGCAGGTGGAGATCTTCATCTATGTGTTGGCCACGCTTTATCCTCATGGGCCTCATCGTGCGGGTGAGGTTTGCACGCGTATCGCGTCTTGTTGTACGCGGCTACAGCATGGGCGGTGTGGCGAGTCATAGCAGGCCAGCTCTGGTGCAGTACTTCGGCAAAGTGTTGACGCTGTGTTTTCTCAATAGTTTGTCTGGCTGGTGGTTGAAAGTAGCTTGCAGCTCGCTACACACCTTGTGAGTTTTGCTGGGCTGGGCATTGCGATTCAATCATAACGGACGGCACCGTATCGGGTGTGCTTTCATCATTATCGTCTTCGCCTTTATTTCCTACGCGGTCATGAAGTGATCGGGCGGCCTACCCAGCAGGAGAACCCTTCCCTTTAGCGTAATCAGAATCAGAATCATGATCTCCTCCTCCTCCTCCTTCTCCTACTCCCCTCCTCCTCCTCCTCCTCATCATCGTCATCGTCATCATCATCGTCATCATCATCATCAACATCATCATCATCAGCAGCATCATCATCAGCATCATCATCACCATCATCATCATCAGTATCAGCATCATCATCAACATCATCCTTCTCTATTATCATCCCTTCTTCTCCACCTCAGCATCGTCGACGTCATAGACATCATCGTCATCATCGTCATCGTCATCATCGTCATCATCATCGTGGCCCGCCGCTCCGGCGCCCACAGCCAGCCCGCCTCCGCCGACGGCCCTGGCCGGCGCCAGACCTGCGTTCGCGGCAGCCGCTCCAGCGGGCGCGACGTCAGCGCCTCCGGCCCCACCAGCTGAAGGGACGATGGCGCCAGCCCCTGACCCAACGGCACCAGCAGGCAAAGACCCCAGCCACCGCCAAGAGCGCCGCGTCGTGCGCTGCAAGCACCGGCGTGGCCTGGGCCACGAAGGCGGCAAGCTCGGCGGCCGTGAGCGGCTGGGCGAAGTCGTACACGGCGACGCCCGCTCTCGCCAGCGGCGGCGTGATGGTCCCGCCCTCGCGGATGAGCGCGCGCCCTGGGCCGACCCTGTACCAGTGGCGGAGGTCGTCGTTGTCCTCGGTGAAGTACTCGACGAAGAGGCCGCGGTCTGGCGACACAACTCCTGCGTGGCGAACGTCCAAACCAACGATACCCATCACCGCACGCGCGTGAAGCAATGGAAGCCCTGCCACGCCATACGCCACAAACAATTGATATCCGACATTCATAACCGGTTGGCCGTCGCAAGCAGCCCGCATCCACGAGCGACTCGACGAACGAGGACAATCGGCAAGGTGGCCAGGACATCCCTCGGCTCCGCCTCGATCCCTGCCAGCGGCCGCCGGCGGCAGCCCCGGCAGATCACGTTCCCCGCCGCCCTCAAGCAGCGCGAGGCGAGCACCCGCACCAGGAGCGGCAGGAGACCGAACGAGACCTCGAAGCCCCAGGAGATCTCGTTCTTGACCGGCTCGGGGCAAGCCGGGCAGAGATCAGGCCACACCAGCTCCACGGGCGGCGCCGCCACGGGCAAGCACCGCTCCAAGCCCGCGCACAGCTCCTCGGCCAGCGCGGGGGTCGGCGGTCCGGCCGCCGGGCAGCTCCGCGCTGGCGGGTCTGGAGCCCGCGCCGCCGAAGGCGACGCATGGCGACGGGCTGGCGCCGGCGGCGCAGGCCCGGCACGCGGCGCGAGCCACCACTGGCTCCGCCACGCGCTGCGCGCGTGGAACGCCGGCAGAGTCGCCGCCTGGCCCGCCTGGCGCAGCCATGCCGCGCCGAGGGTTCGGGCGGCCTCGGGCCAGACGGGTCGAGCAGGACAGGGCAACACCTTGGACCAGGCAGAGCAAGAGGCCAGAGGGAGGCGACGAACGGCGACACGGCACAGCACACACAGCACACACAGCACACACAGACACACAACACAACACAACACTACACTACACTACACTACACTACACTACACTACGCTACACTACACAACACTACACAACACCGAACGAGCGAGGACAAGGAGAAAAGGGCGGTAGCTGGCGATTCGAAAAAGGCTTGTGCCGAAGCGGTTGCGGATGCAGCCGCGCGGCCCGTTTCCGCATCACGACTACTGTTCTAGAACTGCCCATCAGAACTTTCTTCATCGTGTCATCGTCAGCATCATCACCATCATCATCATCATCATCATCATCATCATCATCATCATCATCATCATCATCATCATCATCATCATCATCATCATAATCATCATCATCAGAATCATCATCATCATCATCATCATCATCATCATCATCATCATCATCATCATCATCATCAGCATCATCAGCATCATCATCATCATCATCATCATCATCATCATCATCATCATCATCATCATAATCATCATCGCCACCACCACCATCATCATCATCATCGTAATCAGCATCATCACCATCACCATTATCATCAGCATCAGCATCAGCATCATCATCATCATAAGCAGCATCATCAGCATCATCATCTGCACTACCATCATCATCATACTCATCAGCATCATCATCCTCAGCAGCAGCAGCATCATCAGCAGCATCATAAACGTTATCAACGATCAGTATCATCCTTCTCCTCATCATGCGTAGTTGTATGTGTTGCTCCCCTTGTCCACGTCCTGCCGCCCCTCCCTCCCTCCGCCCTCCCTCCCTCCTCTCTCATCCCCCTACATCCACACTTACACACTGTAAAAACTACTCTGCTGTCTCCCCTGACCATCCACCATCCCTCCCCCCTCCCTCCCCGTCCTTCCTCCCTCCCTCCCTCCCTCCCTCCCTCCCTCCCTCCTCTCCCCCCCCCCCCCCCCTCCCTCCCTTTCCCTCCCCCCCTCCCCACCTCCTCCCTCCTCCCTCCCTCCCTCTTCCTCCTCCTCCTCCTCCCTCCTCCTCCTCCTCCTCCTCCTCCTCCTCCTCCTCCTCCTCCTCCTCCTCCCATCATGCTCTCCCTTGCCTCCCCCCTCCCTCCCTCACCCTTCCCCCATTGTTCCCTCCCTCGTCCTCCGCCTGTTCTCCCCACCCCGCGTCCTTTTGCAGCTCCTTCACGACCTCCCCGCCCCGGCCGATGACCTCTCGGGCGGCGGTCCCGAGGGGAGGCGGAGGTCTCGGGAGGCCAGGAACATCGGCCTTTGGGCCTCGGGGGAGAGGAGGAGGAGGAGGACAACGGCGACGGCCACGGCGACGGCGACGGCGACGACGACGAGGCCGAGGACCAGGACGACGAGGAGAACGGCGACGACGAGAGCACGAGGACGAGGGGGAGGACGCAGGGGGGGAGGATGCCAGGGCGCAGCCGTTGCCCGGCCCCCCCGCGGGCAGCCCCTTCCCGGCAGCGCGCCGCCCGCCCTCGTCGCTTTTTTTTCTGCTCGCCTGCACTGCGGCCCCGCAAGCGGCGACCGGAGGGGGAGCTTGAAAGAGGAGGCCTTCTCGGAGGGCGGCGGGGTGTTTCAGAAACGAGGAGGAGGAGGAGGAGGAGGAGGAGGAGGAGGAGGAGGAGGCCTCCGATCGTGACAAGTTGTCTGCATCTTCGAGTAAGGCGTGGACAACTTCTCAGGAGGCCCGAGGCCTCGAGAGCCTCGCGAGAAGGCCCGCCCCGTCGCTGCTCCCCCCCCGGCTCGCCGCCGACGTGTGCGCGGCTTTGCGCGCTGGTCGCGTTCAAAACCGATGCGTAAATCCCACACGGCGACCTCCGTTCTTCAATACGTGGCGTCTGGATTTCCACAGAGAGGGGTGGGGTTGGGAAAGGAGGGAACACGTGTGCGCGGCTTTGCGCGCTGATCGCGTTCAAAGCCGATGCGTAATCCCACACGGCGACCTCCGTTCTTCAGTACGTGGCGTCTGGATTTCCAAAGAGAGGGGTGGGGTTGGGAAAGGAGGGAACAGGGACCGCTGCCGAGGACGAAGTAAGTCAGCAAGGGGAGGAAGGCGGGGCGGAGTCCGGAGGAGGACATGGAGGGGGGGGCAGCGGGGTCGGCTGGACGCAGCATTACACCACTCTGTGCGCCGATCATTGGTTGACTCTGATTTCCCCACGAGCCCAGGTAAGCGCGGGGCGAGAGACCCTGCCCGCCCGCCCGCCTCAAACGAAGGGGTAAATGCTAAGCGACAGGGCCCCGAAGCGAAAGGGGGAGGAGCGGGGAGGGAGGGAACGAGGGAGAAAGAGAGAGAGGGAGGGAGGGAGAAAAAGAGAGAGAGAGAGGGGGACAAAAAAGAAATGTGCAGGAGAAGGGTTCGAGAGTTTCTGCGCGGTCCTGGGGCTCTGGCTTGGGGCAGGGGGCAAGCCCCGCCCGCACAACTTGGCGCGCGACCGCCGCGCACGCAGGAGCGCGCGACGCGGGGGGGGGGGGGGGGCCAAAGGAAAGAGGAGGAGGGGAGGAGGAGGAAGGAGGAGGAGGAGGAGGGGAGGAGGAGGATGAAGAGGAGGAGGAGGAAACGGAGGAAGAGCAAGAGGAGGATACGCGGTGGCCCGAGGTGTCTCGCCGTGGTGCCCTGTGGTGTCCAAATGGTGTCCCGTCGGTGTTCCGTCGGCGGTGGGCGGGCGGTGGCCCAGGGTGTCCCGCCGTGGTATCGATAGTGAAGGTCGATAGTGAGATCGATGAGGAGATCGCTGGAATGGGATCGATAGTGGAGTCGAACGTGAGATCGACAGTGAGGTTGATTGTGACACTGGTGGTGAGATCGATAGTGAGATCGATAGTGAGATCGATCGAGAAATCGATAGTGAGATCGCTAGTGGAATCGATAGTGGGATCGATCGCTGAATCCATTGGTACTAAGACTGGCCGCGAAGTCGATAGTGGGATCGGTCGAGTGAGAGCGAAAGCGGGGACGGTAGTGGCATTAAATCGCAGCGCAACATCGTTATCAGGCGTCGTCGCTGACTCGAGGGCGCGTCACCAGCATCGTCATCATCAGACCCACCGCATTTGCCAGCAGTCGATTATTCTTCCCCCCGCCCCCCGAACCTCCTACTCACCCGAAGGGTGATCGTGGGGGTATACTCTGTGGCAAGATGTACGGGCAGCCGTGCAACAGGTGTGAGAGCGACTGGAGGAGCAGTGGGGTGGACAGAGAGAAGGCGGAATACGAGGGAGGAGGGAGTGAGGGGAGGGGAGGGAGGGAGGAAGGGAGGAAGGGAGAAGGAGAGGAGAGGAGTCGTACAGTCGAAACTTGTCCATCAGACCGTGGGTCAAGAACACGAGCCCCTTTGCAGAGGCCCAAATACCCGCGCAAACACTCCAGACGAAGAGCACTCCCGGGAGGAGAGCACACACACGAAGAACGGAAGGATACCCCTGGAGAGCTGGGGCTTGTTCTCAACCCTCATGCCAGCTGAGGGGGCCGAAGGCCCACCCTCATGAGAAGCACCCAGACAAGCGAAGCCGTGTGCTCAGTAAACTCACCCAAAGAAGGAACCGAATGGGGCAGGACTGCTTAGCAGACGCCCAGGGTGGGGGGCCACATGCGAACCCCACCCCTACCCCACAAGATTTTTGGGGGGGGAGGGTGGGGTTCACTTCGATCGGAAGCTCCCCCTCAGAAATCGTGGGGGGCAGGGGCAGGGCTCGCCTGTGGCCCCCTGCAGGGCTGTCTAGCAAACTTCAGCTACACCGTGGGGGTCGCGGTGCTTCCGCCCCTCCGAGCCGTGCCGACCGGCCGGGCGGCGGGGCTCCTCGGAGGCCCTCCGACCTTCTTCTGCAGACCACTCTCTGTCTTCGGGGGAGGCTCAGAACAGTCCCCGGCAGGCCAGCGGACTTCCGAGCCTTCTCGGAAGGCCCGCGCCTTCCCCTCGCTTCCCCCCCCCCACCGGCTCGCCGCCGGCTTCTGCATGGCTGCGCGCGCTGATCGCACTCAAACTGGACGCGTGGTTCCACACGGCGCCCTCCGGCGCACTGCTTTCTTCGATACGTGGCGTCTGTAGTTAGGTCGGGCCTGTCCCCCTACAGGAGGATTTTGGACGGAAAAAAGCATAGTCAAAACATACTCCAACAAATATTCAAAGATAGTCAAAGACTCGTCCACTGACTATTTTCACTATTTGAACACTCCTCCTGTAGAGGGATGCCTGACTTACGTCTGGAGCTCCGCAGAGAGGGATGACTATTTTTACCTAACAGCGAAGACTGATAGGTTTCTAATGGTCTCAAAAGAAAGCATCATGACTCCCCAAAGGGGTCCGGGCGGCATCCGGGGAGAATCCGCGGAAATCGTTTTAAGCAAACAGTTACACACTTCGTGGTCTTCGAGGTCCCAGAACTCCATTCCCGGGCCACATTCTGAATGCCCGGAGCCAACTGTAGGCCACTTCGTGCTCTTCGAGTTCCCAGAATTCCATTCCTGGGCCACATTGTGAATGCCCGGAGCCAACTGTAGGCCACTTCGTGCTCTTCGAGTTCCCAAAACTTCATTCCCCGGCCACATTTTGAATACCAGGAGCCAGCTGTAGGCCACTTCGTGCTTCGAGTTCCCAGAACTCCATTCCAGGGCATGATTTTGAATGCCTGGAGCCAACCGTAGGCCACTTCGTGGTCTTCGAGTTCCCAGAATTCCATTCCTGGGCATGATTTTGAATGCCTGGAGCCAACTGTAGGCCACTTCGTGGTCTTCGAGTTCCCAGAACTCCATTCCTGGGCATGATTTTGAATGCCCGGAGCCAATTGCAGGCCACTTCGTGTTCTTCGAGTTCCCAGAACTCCATTCCCGGGCCACATTTTGAATGCTGAGCAGGCTGAGGCTGAGGCTGAGGCAGCTGAGGGCAGGCTGAGGCTGAGGCTGAGGCTGAGCAGGCTGAGGCTGAGGCAGGCTGAGGCTGAGGCCGAGGCTGAAGGCAGACTGAGGCTGAGGCTGAAGCAGGCTGAGGCTGAGGCTGAGGCAGGCTGAGGCTGAGGCTGAGGCTGAGGCTGAGGCTGAGGCTGAGGCTGAGGCTGAGGCTGAGGCTGAGGCTGAGGCTGAGGCTGAAGCAGGCTGAGGCTGAGGCTGAGGCTGAGGCTGAGGCAGGCTGATGCTGAGGCAGGCTGAGGCTGAGGCTGAGGCTGAGGCAGGCTGAGGCTGAGGCTGAGCCGAGGCTGAAGGCAGACTGAGGCTGAGGCTGAAGCAGGCTGAGGCTGAGGCTGAGGCAGGCTGAGGCTGAGGCTGAGGCAGGCTGATGCTGAGGCAGGCTGAGGCTGAGGCTGAGGCTGAGGCTGATGCAGGCTGAGGCTGAGGCAGGCTGAGGCTGAGGCTGAGGCTGAAGGCAGACTGAGGCTGAGGCTGAAGCAGGCTGAGGCTGAGGCTGAGGCAGGCTGAGGCTGAGGCTGAGGCAGGCTGAGGCTGAGGCTGAGGCTGAGGCTGAGGCAGGCTGAGGCTGAGGCAGGCTGAGGCTGAGGCCGAGGCTGAGGCTGAGGCAGACTGAGGCTGAGGCTGAAGCAGGCTGAGGCTGAGGCTGAGGCTGCTGAGGCTGAGGCTGAGGCTGAGGCTGCTGAGGCTGAGGACTGTTGATCTGCTGAATGCCTGCGACTGCGAGAACTACAGAATTCGACTGCGAGAACAGCAGAATTCTACAACTGGATTCTCATCTGAATCTTAAGGGGAATGCTTCCAGATATGCTCCTACACATCGCTGTTAGGTTGCTTTGCCGGGATAATGTTACTATTTTTTGAATTTTCCTCCTGTAGAGGGACACACACGCCCGGCCCCTCTCCCTTCCCCCACACGCTCGCCGCAGCCCTCAACCCCCATGCCAGCCGCAGCCCCTTTCGCCCCTCCGAGCCTTGCCGACCAGCGGGCCAGCGGGGCTTCTCAGAAGCCCTCCGGCCTTCTGATCCTCCTCCTCCTCCTCCTCCTCCTCCTCCACCTCCTCCTCCCTCCTCCTCCTCCTCCTCCTCCACCTCCTCCTCATCTCCTCGTTACATTCTCGACATCATCACCACCACACCACCACAATCATCGTCACCGTCCTCCTCCTCCTCCTCCTCCTCCGCGCCTCCTCCTCCTCCCTCCTCCTCTCTCGTTTCATTCTCGACATCATCACCACCAACACCACCACAACATCGTCACCCGTCGTCATCCTCCTCCACCTCCTCCTCCTCCTCCTCCTCCTCCTCCTCCCCTCCTCCTCCTCCTCCCTCCTGCCTCCTCCGCCACTTCCTCTCCTCCTCCTCCTCCTCCTCCTCCTCCTCCTCCTCCTCCTCCTCCTCCTCCTCCTCTGCCCCCGATCGGGTGGCGATCCAGGCGCGCCCTCTTGGATCACCTCAGGCATACAACATTTCTCAACTGCCGGATAGTCAGGAGATCGCCTGAGGGACTCGCGCGCCGTGGAGTTGTTCGGGAGGCTCGGGCACCCTCGGCTCTGCTGGTCTTGACGCTGGGACCGCTGGTGCGCTGCCGGGCGCGGCGGCGCACGGTCCCCCCGCGGCGCCTCGTGCCCAACCGGCTGAGGCCCCTGAAGCGGCGATGGTCGAACCAGCGCGTCTCTTCCAGGAGGAGGTCGTCGAGGCGCCCGTGGAGCTCAAGTTGGATCTGCTTCTACCGGTGCCGCTGCGCCGTGGCACGGCCCCCCTCCACATCGCCACCATCAACGGGGACACGTGGCAAGGGGCTCGCACGGTGCTGGAGTGGAACGCTGCAGCCGGCAGGCGCTTTGACGTGGCCTTCGTTCAGGAGACGAGGTTCCCCGACTCCGAGGCGGCTGGGGGCGCTCGCCAGTGGTGCTTGGGCCAGGGCTGTCATCTTGCCCTGGGCCCTCCTCGTCGGACTGGCGCTGAGCGTCTGGCTGTCAGTGGCGGCGTGGGCCTCTGCATCGGCACGCACATTGGGGTCTTCAGTGGCATTGCTGTCCCTGATGAGTGGAGCCATCGCATTGTGGCCAGGAAGATCCACCTCGGCGAGGGCTCGGTCCTCTTGGTGATCTCTCTCTACATGATCACCTCCATCGGCCTCACTGGTGATAACCTGGCGCTCCTTGCGGAGGTGGCGTCTATTGTTGGGCAGTTCCCTGTGCCCTTCATCATCGGCGCCGACTGGAACGTTGACGCCCACGACCTTGTGGCCAGCGACTGGTGCCAGGAGGTGGACGGGATCATCGTCAACCCTGGTGTCCCGACATGCGGGGACAACGAGTACGACTACTTCGTCATGTCCCGCTCGCTGGCCCACCACACCTCCCACCCTCAGGCGTTTGCTGGCACACCTGCCGGCACTCATGTTCAGGTGTGTTGCACCCTGGGGGATATTTGGGAGCATCCGACGGCTTGGCTGGAGGATCCTCGGCGGCCCTTCTCAGTAGCCAGGAAGGCTGTCGGATCTGAGGAGTCGGTCAAGCCCAGGGAGCAGCCCACCTCCGAGTCGCAGCGGGAGGCTGCGGAGTTGCTCGAGCCCTTGGAGTGTTTGCAGACAGCCAGTGCGAGGTGGTTCGACCTAGCCGAGGCCTCTCTCATCCGCTCCCAGCAGATTGACTTATCGGTTGCTCATCACCACCGTGGGCGAGGTCGAGGCATTCGTCTGGTGGAGCGGCCTTTGCTTGAAGTCCATGAGCGGCGGCAGCGCCGTCACGACTCGTCCGACACCGAGGCTTGGTGGAGCCTTCTTCGCATTTGGAGAGCAATGCTTCGGTGGGGGCAGGCCAGCCGTGGTTCTCGCGGCAAGCGACAGGTGGTGCGTGCCCGCCTTCATCTTCAGGCCCAGGCCCTGACATTACCTCCAGCTGTGGCTGGTGCCGAGGCCCTTCGTACGGTGGCCGTCGACAAGTGGCTTGGGCTTGCTGAGCGGGACAGCCCTCTTTCTGCTTGGTTTGAGGATCTTCTCGAGGAGGAGGTGGCCGTGCGCAGGCGAGCTGACGCGGCTGCCAAGGCCAAGCTATGGCGAGATTTTTGCAAGTCGGCCCTCGACGGCCCCGGGAGGATTGCGCACAAGCTTATTAAGCCGAAGATTGTCGAGCCTCTCCCTGTATCCCTGCCTGGCGACGTTGATTCCCTGCCGCAGGTGGGCTCGCTGGCGGTTGAGGGTGTTTTGCAGGAGTGGCTTCCGCTTTGGATCAAGGACTCGAGGAATGATGAGCAGCACGCCTCCGAGTGGAATGTGGCGACAACCCTTGAGCCCATCAGTGTCTCGCAGGTGCGCTCGGCCATCCTCTTCTTCGGCAGGAGGAAAGGCCTGGGCTGGGACTCCTTTCATCCGCGGCTGCTTGGGGAGCTCTCGGACGCCTTGGTTGCTCGATTTGCGGCCATCTTAAACCGGTTTGAGCTCACTGCCGAAGTCCCCGAGCTTTGGACGACGATGTTCGTTTTCATTCCCAAGCCTCCTCCTGACGTCGGCCGTCGGCCGATAGGGCTCCTGGGCCTATGGCCCCGCGTATGGTCCAGGGTACGACAGCAACGAGTTCGCGGTTGGGAACACAGTGTGGATGCCAGCTTCTTTTGGGGCAAGTCCGGCGATACGGCGGCCGACAGAGCTGCTTACATCCACAACCTGCTGGTGGTGCATGCTAAGCGCCACGGCTTCGTCAGCGGCACTCTGTACTACGACGTGCGGAAGTTTTACGAGAACATCTCCCACGGCGCCATGCGCGAGGCTGGCAGGCACTACGGCTTTGACGAGCAGCTGCTGCGATGCCTGTGCGCGGTCTACCGTGGACCCAGGCGGGCCCGCTGGCTTGGCGCGACCTCGCGCCTGGTTGTCCCCAACGGCACGGTGATCGCGGGTTGCAGCTGCGCGACTGGCACCGTGAAGCTCATGACCCTGTGCGTTTTACGGACTATTGCCATTGAGACGCCTGTCTGCCGGCCGCTGAACTTGGTGGACGACTTGAAGGTGCATGCTGTGGGTTCTCTCCGCACTGTGGCTCGGCAATTGGTCAAAGCAGCCACGATTGTAGCCACTCAGATGAATGAGCTCGACCTTCCGCTCAACTTGGACAAGACCTGCTTCCTGTGTTCGAGCCCTGAGTTGCTCGAGGCTCTGCTGGACGACCCCGACTGGCCGTTCGACGAGTCCTTCCTGGCCACCACCCACCGTGACCTGGGTGGCGACGCTTCTGACGGCAAGGCTCGCCGCGTGCCTGTGCAAAACAAGCGCCTCCTCGAATCGTCGGCCGCTGCGACTCGGCTCTCGAAGATTGGGCGGGGGAGGGAGGCTTCTCGGGTGCACAGAGCGGGCCCAGTCGCTAAGGCCACGTGGGGGGCGCACATTAATGGTCTTGGGAATTCGGCTCTGAGGACTCTGAGGGTGGCCTCTGCCAGGTCTTTTGGCCCCCTCCAGCCTGGATCCTCCCTCGGCCTCACCTTCCTTCTTTGCGGGGCCCCCCAGCGGGATCCTCTTGTTTCGACGACGGTGGACGCCGTCAAGTCATTTGTTTCTGTCTGGTGGCACCGCAGTGTCACGAAGCAGGTCCTCCTCTCTGCGTTTGACGATGCACTCGTGTCTGCGAGGAAACCTAAACCCTGGGGCTCCGCCAAGCAACCTCTTGCCGCTCTTGTGTTAACGCTTGCTCGGATTGGTTGGAGGTTGGATGTCCCAAACGAGGTCCTGATTGACCAGGCGGGTCGCTCCTGGAGTTTGTCTGTGTTTTCCCCGGCCTTCTTCGCCCTTCGCGTGCGCGAGGCGTGTGAGGAAGCGATTGTAATGGAAGAGCAGGCTAGGCAGAGTGATTTTGGAGCCGAATGGCGCGGCCCCATCTGTCTCAAGCCGGCTCTGGATCTGATCTCGAAGCAAGGCTCAGCTTGGTCTGATCATTGTCGTCACTGCTTGCGCAGCCTTGTTACCAACAGGTATTGGTGCCAGCAGCGGTTTCATGACGCCTGTCAGGACATACCCCCTGCCTGCCTGGCCTGCCAGGCCCCATCAGGTACCATGTTTCATCGTCGATTTGATTGCCCCGCCCACGATGCGTGGCGACGGGATGTTTTGAGCCCCGACCTGCGCCGGGCAGCGGGTAGAGTGCGCCTTCTTTCGTCTAGGGCCCAGGAGTTGTTCGCCAGGTGTGTGCTCCCAGACCCCACTTGCTGGTTCTCGCGCCCCTCCGAACCCCCTGAGGCCACGGTCTATAGGCACAATTGGCCTGCCGACGGGCTGGTGCTCGGGGAAGGGGCCCATGTGTTCTTGGACGGCTCGTGTTTCGAGCCTGCCCTCCCTAGGATTCGATCGGCAGGATGGGCGGTGATCGTTACGGACGGGTGGGGGAAAGTTGCTCGTGCGATTTGGGGGCGCGTGCCCGTGTGTGAAGCTCCAGCCCAGGTCGCCCGTGACGGTGAGGACTATGCAGTGGTCTCTCTCGTTCGCCATGCTACTGTGTTCCCTGGGGCCAACTTGCATGGGGACTGTGCCGGAACTCTCGGGTATGTTTCGGACCCCGCGGGAGCTGTTTGTCCCGATAATGTTCGGGCGCATATGTGGCAGCATGTGTTTGATAAGCTCGACGGAGTGCGGTGGCGTAAAGTTCCTGCCCATTGCACCCTTCGTGATGTCGAGAACGGTAAGCTCAGCCGTCTCGAGTATCTCGGCAATAAGGCTGCCGATGAATATGCCAAGCGAGGCGCCTCATTGGGTCGAATCTCTGCCGCTGATCGTGCCGTCGTCGATGGTTGCTTTGAGTTGTCCCGGCTGTTGTGCAAGTTCTCAGCTGAGCAAGAAGCTCGGATCGGGGACAGTGGGCAGTTCGACCATGTCGGCATCGATTGGCTGAGGCATATCACCCTTGAGGTCCCTCCTCTCCCTGATGATCCTCCTCCTCCTTCCGAGCCTTCTCCTCCTGGCCGTTTTGATTGTGGCTCCGTACGGCGGCCTCCTATTGGGAGTGGCGGGACGGGTCGGGAGTCGGGAGGGGTGGGCGACGACGGTGAGGAGGGCAGGGCCGAGAGGCCCGACCTCCATGTCTGGCCGGCCCGCGCCCACGACATCATAGAGTGTGGGGTCACTGACCCCGCTGGGGCGGCCGCTGGCTCCCTGGCCTTCTGCACCCGTTGCGGTTCAGTCTGTACCGTCGGAGGGCACGGTGGCAAGACTGCTCTCGCGTCGGATTGTCTGGGCCATCGTTCCCAGGGTCGTGAGAGGCAGTTGGCTTGGATTTTGCAGGGCCGCCATCCTTCGAAGAAAGATTTTCGGGTCTCGCGAGCGACCGTGTTATCGGACCCAGCTCGAGACTACCTCGCCGCCAAGATGGGTCTGGACGACCTCCCGTTGCTCGCGCCATCTCGGTCCAGAGGCTATCTGGCTTCTTCGTCGGGCGGGATTGGGAGGGTTTGGGCTGGGACTGGGGTCGACCTTCAGCGAGGCCTTTCACTTTACGGGTTCAGCTCTCGGGAAGAGGCTGAATCGCTCGGCGCTCGAGCGCAAGAGCGCCGACGGCAGGTTGTGCCGCCCGAGGAGGACTTGGACCCTCCCTAACTCGTTTGGAGTTTGTTTGATGCATGTTTAATGTGGTGGCACCTTTCTAGCCGTTGCCGGGCTCCTCCTCCTCCTCCTCCTCCTCCTCCTCCTCCTCCTCCCCCTCTTCCTCCTCCTCCTCCGCCTATTCCTCCTCCTCCTCCTCCTCCTCCTACTCCTCCCAGTCTCAACCTCCATGCCTGCTGCAGCCCCGTCGCCCACCCGAGCCTTCCCGACCAGCTCCTCCTCCACCGACAGCACCACCGGCGCCGCGCGCGGCTCCGCCGCGGGCACCGCGGGGGCCGCGGCCTGCGCGTGCGCGGGGGGGGCGGCACGCCCCGGCTCCGACGGCGCCGCCGACGACGCCGACGACGGCGACGACGACGACGCCGACGCCGACGCCGACGACGCCGACGCCGACGACGCCGACGACGCCGACGCCGACGCCGACGAGGACGAGGACGAGGACGACGCCGACGACGACGACGACGACGACGACGACGACGACGCCGCCGCCGACGACGCCGACGACGACAACGACAACGACGACAACGACAACGACGACGACGACGCAGACGCCGACGACGACGAGCGCCGGCTCCTCCTGAGGAAGTGGGGCTCCCGCCCCTTGAGAAAGTAGGTGGCCCAGGAGAAGGTCGGAGAAGGATAAGGTACCCATACCGTTGTGGATGCCATGACAATGGACACACTAACAATCCTCCAATCATGGAATTAAAGATGTGTTTAAAATGTGTAAAACATATCTAAAAACGTTTCAAACATGTTCTTACATATCTAATACATGTTTGAAACATGTTTTAGACATCTGGAAATTATTTGGCAGCACGCTTCCTCTCCATTAATCGACTTCCACAACCATACCGCTACCCTTCCTGCGTTTTCGCCCTTCTTGGGCCTCCTCGGAGGCCCTCGTCGCCACCGCAGGAGTGGATTCGCCTCGAAATCCTGGTCAGATCGCGCACCGGGAAAGGTCCAGGGAGACCGCCTGCTGAAACCTCACGCCTCGTATCGGCGGCCAGCCCGAGGGCTCTCCCCAAACCTCGCACTCATGCGCGCGTGCAACTTCTACACGGATGGAGGCGGTTCCTGTGCAAAGTGAGGCTCTCAATTGACGCTTACTTGAACGCTAGCTTCATGTATCTTGAAATGCCGAGTAGCTCCAAAAATGCAGCCCTGGCCCCAGAGTCGTCAGTTTTCCGCGTCATGCCACCCCGAGGTTCCGACCACTTCCCCAACACCAACTTTTCACTCGACTCGTTTCCGACAGCCCCGCGACCCGGTAAGGGCCCCTGGAGACCGAAAATTGCCTCACCCGTAAGTGTGGTCGCCGGAAGAGCCGCGATGATGTAGGACTCGCACTCGTCGGCCTCCTTGCACTTTTTCGAGCAGGCCACCATCAGTTCACCGATCTCTCCTGTGTTTGCGATGTTCGTAGATGAGACGAGAATGTCGCGCAAATTGGTGCATGCGGTGCACTTCATGACAACAGCTCCATTGATGGTGCCTGCCGCTTTATTTTCATCAACATCAGCACGGTCAGGATCCCAAAAGGCCTCTCGCGTCGGCACGACTGGTCAACTCCGTCTTGTGCCCAGAGATTTCCGCATGTTTCAGCATGACATGAACAGTAGTCACGGCCGTGATGACGGCGGATGTCGTCGCCACGAAGACGGTGAAGAGCACATTGCAAAGCCGAGGGCAGCGAAAACAGTTCATCCTTGACTCGGCGTCCGCTGGCGGCCGGTATTCATCCTCGAAGGCCGTCGGGCTCTGCCTTGAGGGCACGCTGTGCTAGGAAGCTGTGGCCGGGGCTGTGAGAGCCCAAACTGTGAGCCAAAATTTGGCTCGAGGAGAACTGGACCCTAGTGCGCGACGTCAACTTTGGACGGCCTGGTAAAATCGGTTGCGGGGCCTTCCCCAAGGTGCGTTCTAAGCAGAATTCCGAGAGGCCTCAGTGACGACAAGGGCCCCCCGCAGGCTCCAACAGGCTAAAGACAAACTA